CCAAATCGCACTGCTTTTCTCCAGCTGCCCATTCAATACCTACATTTTGGAGACCACTTAGTGTGTTCTCCAGTATTTCGGTAGTAGGTGGAATCTTTTTCGTTTAGTTAAGAGTACGGGCCCAAAGAAAATAGGCGTGAAGTAATTAAGCAGTAAGAAGGCACACGGATTCATATTCAGTAATACCATAGGCGGAACATTTCAAAACAATTCAACTGACCCAAGTTGACGCTACATCTCCCTTTACGTGCTCCAACTGGGTTAATACCACCAATCAGTATCAGTCCTTCATCTGAAATGGAGTTTCTCGGTAAAACAGTTATCTCAAAAGGTATAAGTCTTCCGGCACGGACGGGTTTCCCCATCGATTTTTGAGGATGGAGGGTTAGCCTTGGTTTTGGAGTTAACAAAATTACTGGACTCCGTATGAGGGAGGGAACGAGTTCCCACTGAATGGTGTGAATCGGTCATCATTCTGGTTTACAAGAACGGTGATAGATCCTCCTGTGAAGACCACGGAGAAAGTAGTTCAATCAACATTGTCTCTAAGCTTCTCTCTGGTATTATACTCCGTTAATTGTCTGCCGCACAAGAACGGTGTGTGAACCGGTATGGTTTTAGGTATAGTCGCGGTGGTATAGATCACATTTTCACTCTTCGTCAATTTCTAGAATACAGGTATCTTTCGTTGGCCCACCGTTTCTATCTTCATCGATTTGAAAGTAACCTTCGACTCAGTCGACCGCTCTATACTCAGTCGCTGTCTCTCTCTGGAGAGTGTGCCCGAGAAGTTTGTTTCAACTTTGTGATCTGTTTATACTAGTAGCCGAAGCTGAGTTCAAGCTTACGGCACTTCTTCGCCCTCTCTTTTCGTTTCTATTTAGCGTTGTTATGAATTTAATTCTTGAAACAGCCCTATCCTCGTGCGACGATAGCGGCATAGATTTGCTCCCAGGTGGCAGGCTGTCTGATCTGGAGTATGTATGTATGACATTGTGCTGTTATTTGAAGATCCAGAAAGCTGCTCTGGTTAGATTGGGTGTTAGTGTAGCTATCTTTGTAATGCGTTTTGCACCTTCAAACGGGAGAATTGGGTTGGTCCCACCCCCAACCTCACCTTGACTGGGAAAGCAGTAAGGGAAGTAGGCGAATTTTACCATTTGGAGCTACTATATTTCACCTAGCGGACGCATTACAGATGAAGTGTCGGCACGTACACAGAAGGCTCGGTTAGCATTTGCCTAATTAAGACATCTGTGGCGCCGTCGCGACATAAATCTGTCCCTGAAGGGTCAAGTGTATGCTGCAGCAGTTAGTCCAGTCCTGCTCTATGGTGCAGAGACTTCGTCATCGTACTTGGTCATTACTGGAACAAAATAAAAATAGATCGTCGGTGTTCGTGCACCACTGTCTACAGCGCATTGCACTAATCTGGTGGAGAAACTGGATGAGCAATGCTGAGTTTAGGCGTCGAGTTTTAGGTAATCGCGGTTGTCCGCTGGAGCAAGTGGTCGATCTCCACAGACGACGTTGTTTGGGACAGTTGTTGCGCATGTCACCAAATAGGTTTCTATGCCGCACGATGTTTACCGAGACAGATAACCGATGGAAAAAGATAAAGGGCAGCGTGAGAGTATGAAAACCTAATCAGGACACTGGATCACGTAGGTACCGTTAGGCTCTCTGGATAGGGACTCCGAGATTATTGTAGTCTGTGGTTAGAGACATTGAGTGATATGACTGAGTGTCGCAAACAGTGGCGCTCGTGCATCTACTCTTTATTCTGGCCACTCAAGTCTATATGAATCCTCTATCGTCACTTTTGCTCTGCTCTCACCCTTCCAATCCCCATTCTGCTCTTTTATCCAAATGGGCAGTCAAAAGACAGCAACCAAAACCGGCGCATGAAAATGCATTGTCAATGGTTGTGAAAACTAAAACTGAAACTGTGTGCAAATCGGATGTAGCGAATCAACATTGGTAAACGTTAACAAAACCCATCGCACATCGATGCAGGTGAAAATTTCAACATTTCATCTCTCAAGAAGCATCTCATTTGGCCAGACTAAAAAGATGACGACATTGGTGAGGCCTGACTGTGTTGTTTACATACCAAATGAGTCTTGCATGTTGTTCTCGCCAAAACCATCCACTCCCTATCATTCTTTTTTAGGCACTTCCAATGCCTGCTGACTCCGAGGTACCTCCAATTAGTCATTGACGACTCCAATTTACTTCAGAGTACTAAAGTGTCAAATTCATTCTACTGGGAAGAATCGACAGTGACTGTTGATGGTGCTTCCGAGGATTTACTTCTATTCCGAAAACATTGTGAAGCACTACGCGAAGCAATTCAGAACACCTGGATCCAGAAACAGGCAGGTGAAAAGGTACGTTTTGTGGCATGATTTTCAGAATTTGTAGATTAATTCGGCAAAGTTCGCCTCACTGATCCTTTCAATTAAAGAATTAAATCGCCGGACCCAATTCCGTATTCGCAAAGCACGTGACCGTACGACAGAAGTGAGTCTACCTACTTCCTATCCGAACAATTTCAAATCGCTTGCAGCAAAAGTTTAATGTCGACAAGTTACATCTGAGTCTGCAAAACCTGCTTTATGAGGTGGCTCACTTGGAGAGTGAGATAAAAACATGTTTGGAATTCAAGTACCCATCCAAGTTCATTCTAACTTAAGCTCATTGTGATAGATCTCAGCATGAAAAGCTCAATTTGATTCCAGTTGACGAATTTTCCCTAGCCACTGGTCGCGAAGTACGAACTAAATTTCTTTGCTGTCCTATCTTTTGCATTTCAAGCCTGATGCACCGCTATCTCACGAGGAAACCCTTGAAAGATTGTACTGGGAACTAGATCAAAGAAAAAAGTCAGTTCTGGCTAACAGTTTGTTTTAAATTCCTTCTGATTCAAGTTGGTCTGCCTCGTGTCATAAACTGATGCAGTCGGTGGAATCAGTGAGTCAGGAGATTGCTCAAAAAAGAAAATATCTTGCCAGTTTCGCTCCCAAACTGAAGGAGTTGGTCGACGTAAGTCATCCGCATTTTCCTTAAATGTGTATGTGCATCGTTTACTCCCGATTGGTTACAGAACACATTAGTAATTCAAAAACTGATGGATCTACCGTTCTCCAAGGAGGAGGATCAGCATCATATGGCTTTCCTACTGCCCACCCCATTGTACATTCTGTACGCGCATCTCAAATCCTATTTATGCACAATGAGTAAGTTGATTATACTGATTGCAACTCTCGATTATCACAAAGCGGATGCGAAATTTAGGCTCGTTTATCCCCAAGCTACAGTATACTACATTGTACTCTATCATTCTTTACATAACACGGGTTGTGATGAAGCACTTCAACTTGTCAGCAAAGTTAGACTCAGGGAATTGAGTTCTGCGCCTTTGATAACCGCCTTCGTGGTGGACAATTTCGCGTTCATCAGGCTCAATAATACGTATGACCTACTGGGATCTTGTGTAGTCCTTGTCTTTTGGTCCCGGGATGTGGGTTGTTGGTTTCTTTCAATTTGAGCAGAATATTCTCGTGGGTTTCAGGTTCATCCTTTATTATTCGTCATACCGAGAAATCGCCGAATATATCCCATTCAGCACCAAGTCTCTGTGGTGTGCTATATAATTTTGAAATCTTCCGGAAGGCAGATAACAGTTTCATCCCAATTCTGCTTACTTAATGTAGATTGCTCAACTTTCGGAGATTCGCATCATCGCCGTGCAGCGAAGTGCAGTAAAGCTCAGCTTTTATCCAGTTGCCCATTCAATGAAAGTAATTATTTATCTCATCGATATTTTCCGACTAGTGAATTGTGTCTGGCACATCTCGAAAGAACCAGCGTATGGCTTATTCCTATGAAAAGGAAGTAAAACATGAACACATTTAGCTAGATTCATAGAAAGTTAACTGCAGAAGACCACTCGATCAGCTGTGAGATATTAAGTTGTATAGCAGAGGAGCCAGAGCTATTAGTGATTAAAAAATGACGTCATCAGTCTACTTGATAAACACAGAGAGTCAGTGGAAAGATAAGACCATTTCCAAAACGGCACATACTACAAATTTTAATAGAAAGGGTGCGCAGCAACACGCTATACAAACATCACTTTCCTAGTTGATCTCGGGTGAAAATGACGCGTGGACTCCAACACTTTGGTTTGTCCTTATGGTGGAATCGGAATAGAAAAGTTTGCTGTAAAAACTAAGTCTGTGCCTTTAAAGACCTTGTTTGGCAAACCTGCAGAGACCCTCACTAAGGGGTTCTGCCTACATTATCGTTCAGAGGAATCTGAATTTTCTATGAAAATCCTT